ACCTGTTCTTTAGAAACGTACTGTAGATGTGGAATTCAGACAAATCAGCCTTAACTCAATAATATACATGAATTTGAAATTATAGAAAAATACAAGAGTATAAATTCTAGTAGACAGCATGAATTTAAAAGAGATAAATCTTGCCTTCCTAATTACCCTACTAGATATCTTTGAGCAAAGAATAAGCACAGTTGATAACTCCAGGACATATGAATACAGATGTACTGTAGGCAGAGAATCGAGTATTGCCAGTGCAAACCCAACTTTAGCCAGGAATTTAGCCAGGACACTGAGGATTCCAAACTTTATTGACATTTTGTTTATAGGAGTCTAGGCACGTCTATTCTGTCTGACTCATTGCTTTTTAAAACTGAAAGTTCTAAGTTCCTTAAAAAATCTTTTTTTTATGTGCTCTGATTCGCATTCGTGCTTGAATGGCTGTCTGCCTAAAGTGAAATAAATTATTGATTCTGTCATGTAGTGCTGCACTGTAATCCTCAGCTGTGTGTGTATTCCTGTTTGTTAGCCGTTCACAATAGCAATTACCAGTCAATTGGATTTTCAGAAAATTACATTCATGCAAAAGTCAAAGATACTTCCCTGAATCACATTCAAGCAGTACATCCAGGTACAGTATGTTAATTGAACTCAAACCAGCTGTGCCAAAACATGTCTTGAATTTCGTAAATATCCCTCATTTATTAATACTGTAGGTATGATTTCAGAAATTGCATTTCCTAACACAAAATTACTTTTGTGTGTGTCTGTGTCTGGTGTACACTGCAGAATCTCCAGCTATTTATTGAAAGATGCATTTATTCATTTATTTTTGGAGTTGTATTACTGGAGCAGGATTTGAAGTTTTGTCTTTTTTGTGTGAGTAAAGTAGTTGTTTTAATTTGTCCTTAAGCATTTCACAGGAATGATGGCTTTCAATAATGGCTACAGCTCGTACAGCAATTTTTCAGTACTCTTTCAAGTGTTTTACACCAGCCAATTTGTCTGCTGCTCATTATTCTTTGCAAGAAATGCCAAGTGTCTACCCTCCCTGATCGGAGAAACTTAAAGGCTGATTTTTGCAAGTTTGTGTGCCATGTACTGTATGAAAAGTACATTAAATTAACATTGAGGTTTTTTTGTACATAATGTTCGCAGCTATGGATATTACTTATTCTTCTATAATTTATCAGATTACTGTGGTGTTATGTTCTGGGGTGCCTTACAAAATTCAGTGCTCAAAATTTTAATTAAAATAAAATCATACAAAGAATGTATATCCCACTGGGCTCTCCAAGACTGAAGTGGAAGAAATTCTAGTACTAGCATTTAAGGCTCTTAATGTTTTCCAAAGGCTATAATAAATAATGATACTTAAAACTTTGAAAGCTAACTTGAAAATCTAACTTGAAACCCTAGCTTTTACAATGTTATTGATTAATATCTATTTATTGATTATTCACTGTATCTGCATTTGCACTTTTAGATGGGTTTTTGTAAGATAATCTAAAATCTAAAATTCTATTATTATTATTGCCACATTCCTTACTTTACTTTTTATTCTTAGTACATTGCATTTTGGAAACAGGGTTAAAGTATTGCTTTGGAGCACAAAGCGCAGAACATCTTCTCTGTTTTGTTAAGAGGTTCTTTGCAGATTCTTCATGCAAAGTGGATACCTCTGACATGGTTACTCAGCAAAATATGCTAAATTATGCAGTTTGTCCATTTGGCCAAAATGGAATGGAATTTACAGCATGCTCTGGCATTACCCAAGTATGATTGAGAACCCTGGGCCAATTCTCTGTCTCATCAGTCTTTAAAACCTCTCTTTGAGCAATCACCAACAGCAAATTCACCTTTCGCTTAAGTAGTGTGAAGACCAGAGCTGTTAACATCAGAATTAGTTATCACAATCAGCCATGAAGGGATCAATAAGTTGCTTGTGAAAGTAAAGTAAAGAGGGTAATAAGCCCTGGGCCTGACCGTGCTGATAATAACAGGTCTATGTGTTCTGTGCAGCATGCTGATGGGAACAGTCCTGGACATCTGGTGCCCTGTGTTTAGGGCTTCCTGATGCTGCCTGGCCATCCCTGAAGCTTATACTGCTAGAATAGTACACTGTTTGGCAATAACTGTGCAATAGAGTATCAAGATGTCCTCCTCAGATATTTTACTCCTCTTTTTCAAAAATCATTAAAAGTTACATTGTTGTCTGACTCACCTCTGGTTGAGAGCAGGGCTTCACAATCGTTATGCCCACAGGCACATTAAGTGAAGAAGATTCTGAATGGAAGCTGTAATCTTGTCTCTTGACACCTCCAACCAGCCCCTACTCACCCTCTTCTCCCACAACCCATTCTGGGGCTAGAATATGTTTAATGTAAGACAAAGCACTGACCCCTTCACTGCTATATCTTCATTAAAAGATGGTATACTGTTTCCCACGTCTTTACAAGGAATATATGCTGTTCTTAAGGACTGAAAATCCCTAATGCTACAGTTTTTTGAAAGACAACAACCAAAACTTCCACCCCATCCCATCCCTCTGCGTCATTTTCTAAATACTCTGAGATAAAAAAGGTTGTTGTTCTTCAGACGCGCTGCCCCAGGACTGATGCCAAAGGGCTGCAAAGGAGTGAAAACAAGACTGAAATCACAAGGCTCTAAGACTCACAGTTGGCTCATGGGGGCAGCAGATGACCAGATGTAATACAGTAAGTCCTCACCCCTCTTATTTACACATGACTTGAGAAAACTACAGTGCCTCTGCAGTACAGTGGAAAAGTGAAATATTCATGGCATGCCAGAGTAAGGCAGGATCCTGCCCAGATATGAAACTTGATCCAAGACCTCAACAATGCACAGTAAATAACAGTATAAGCATGGTGACAATATGGTGTCACATACTGCAGGGAGCAGGTAAATAGAATCAAGAGATATTCTGTCCTCTGAGCAGCAGTGCAACTTCACAGCTTGATTGCATTAAACATAATGCAGTTGTGATAATACAACCTCAAGCTCAATATTGATCATGCTTTGTTGAAAATATTCCATACACAATAAGGCAACTAAGGTTCAGAGCACTGAAGAAAAATCCACTTTGTAACTAAGTGACGACTGTACCCAAGATGAACTGTGGGTGTCGGCAGTAGGCATACAGTATCTCACAGATTCTATATCCCAGTTATGAAAATTAATTGGTACATGCTGCACCTGTAAAAATCTTTTATAATCTTTCATGACTAAAGCATAGTTAATGTTGCTACAACGTTCCTTGCAGTGTGCATCTAAAGATTTTTTGTCTTCTTCTACAGTATGTAGTTTTTAATGTTTCCCCCCAAGAATATTTAGCATCAAATAGAAATTTGATTTTGTGAAGTGGAGAAAACAATGAGATTGAGACCCCAAATAGTGCTTTATCAAATCTAGTTTCTGTGAAAATGTTTTTGAGTAGACCTGAACCCTGAACTCAACTTTATTTTTTCCCCAATTTGTTTGTAAAGTATTCAGTAAGGAATTGCTGATAAAGATAATAAATCCTGTAAGCATTGTTTGTAACATCTTTAGCAAAAATAGTAAACAGAACTCTTATGACTTTTCATTCCACATTTGTGGTAAATCCAAGTTAACAGCGAAGGATGGCCACTTTACCCTAATTAGTGCTTAGCAGTGTGACACAGCTAGCTTTATTCAGTGACTCGGACATATCTTAGAATCTTTAACACCCTTATCTTTATGTATAAACACTGCATCACCTTGTCACCCTGTATTATGTATATTATATATAAATATATACAGTTTTCATGAGTGTAAATAAGAAACAGTTTCTTACAATTTCTCTTTTCTTCTTTGCACCTGCCTATATCACCCACTTCCTGACAAATCCAGTCATTCAGTTAAGACCAAAAGCCGAGGCCTTATTTTGGTGAGAGAGGAAATACATAAAAGGGCACAAAATCAACATGGAAATAAAAACCATCACATTAAAGATCAGTGGACTTATTTTTATTTCAATTTCTCTGTTCTATTCATTTCCTATGTTACAAGTGTCAAATATTTGGAGTACACCCAGTATGACAAATACAACATACATATCTTAATAAATACTTCAATACAGACATCTGAATGTGGATGAAATTAATATGTAAATATCTGACAGGCTCTCTCCAAAAACCAGCTAGTTATTTGAGTGTATCTTTCTGAATCTCTAAAAGAGCTTCTGATATCCAGTAGGCAACATTGTGTATTTTATTTTGATTCAGTTATAGACCTACTGTATACAATCCAGACATTCTCCAATACAGATTTCCCAGAGAATTACAATCATAAGCCTGAGAACTTTAAAGTCACAGATTGTTTGTGAGTAGGTCACATACAAAAGTCCTGAATATGTTTGCAAATGTATAATTAAACAAATGACGTTAATGTATTTGAAATAACACTTTCTTTGTCTTGCCTCTATATTTTACTTAACCAAAGGAGTGACTTGACAATCAGTGCCTAAAACTGTGTCCTGTCTTTCATGAAGGTTTCACAGTACATTTTCCATGATCGTCTCAAGTCCACTGTGTGTCTCTGAGCTTCTGTGCTGCTGTCATTGCTCATGTGTTTCACCGTGAAATAAAGTGAATGAATATTTCTGAGCCCAGCATTAGGAGGGCGGTCTTTCTGAGCAAGCTAGCTGTAATCGGAGAAAAACTCCTCGCTGCACATGAGCTTGGTCAGGCAATCTGTCAGGAAGAGAGAAAGGTGGTCTTCACAGTCAAAGAGAGAGAGAGAGAGAGAGAGGGAAATAGAAATGGAGAAACTGAGAGTGAGAACCTCACTTTAGCCTGTCTCGCAGCCAGGGAGCAACACAGGAGGGAGAGCTGATCAGTTCTTCTCAGCATCATTCAGTCTCTCGTGCAGAGCAGGAGAAGCAGTCACTCTGGCACTCCAGCCTAGAGTGGAGTTAGACTCCAAGGCACTTTTGCTACTGCCTCAGAGTTAGGGAGGCAGAGATAGAGAGAGTGAGAGGCTGGGACTGAGATGGGTAGAAGATTTTGAGATGGCACAGAGAAGGAGGGGGAGAAGATCCTGAAACTGTGATAAAATCGTTGTCTCTTTTGATCAAACAGGACGCAGCTAGGGAGAGCAGAGAGCACTGTGTTGACACACTCCTCTTTGAGGTAAGTCCACTCGTTCCAGACTGAGGGGCACCTGAAGTGGGAGTATGGGAACAAGAGATGCGGTGTTTGGTATACCATCTAGAATTCATGACCTTGCTGCAGGGCAAAACTCTGCCCTAGTGACACTAGATCAGATGTCTCAATGACTGGTTATTAAGATTTTGTCTCTAATCGAATGATCTGTGTATACCTATCTAATACATGCTCCATTCTTCATTTGCATCATTTGTTTAATTACATTCCCAAAAAAAAATTATTTTTAAACTCAGGAGTGAATCATTCTTACACAGACTTTGTGACTTGAATGAAATGTCATAAGTGACTTTGCAGTAGTGGTAAAGGTAAAAGTGGTTGATACGTGTACTGTAAATATACTGTATATGTTAACAGGATGATATAGGTCAGAGTGAAGTGATTTGGACTAACCTAAACACATAGCAGCCCTTGTTTCAGACATCAAGTCTCCCTCCAGTGTATTGCACTGGGGTTACGCAGTGAGAAACTGCGTTTCTTTCTTCACAAATACAGTCTGAGCCATGCAGACAACATGCTATCAAGTAATGTCAGGTTATTTTTCTGTAGATACTTGAAGAGTAAAAATAAGACTCTAACTGCCTAGCCATTTGAGCCATTTCTTGTTTTATGAGCAACAGTATGTCAAATGCTGCATACCGAAGCTCACCTTCTGTTGATTTACACTGGCACAGATGTGGAGATGATACCTTTAGTACGGAACAGTGATGCAATCAGAAGGACCTAAGAGCCAGCAGCTGGCTGGCTTTGAATTTCTTCATTTTCATATTATCACAGGAGCTATTAGAAGCAACAAAAATCACAACCTAGACAGAAATCAAACTTATAATAAATCAGGGCAACCAAAAATTTAACAGCTACTTATAGGAATGATAAAAGAATGCTTCATCTTAAAATCAGTGGAGAAAGGTTTCTTTCCTGTTTTAAAAGTCAATGCACTGAATCAGTGTGTGCAGTGAATTATTAATCGTTGACTCTGTTCTTTTTAATTCCACTGTTAACATTTATCACATGCAATACATGATAGACTTAAGTTTCATCCAGTGCCAAGAGTGGCTTGTATCTTTTAGAAATGGCAACTTTGGGATTTTCCCTCAGGCTGTCTCATATAGTTGAAACTACACAGCACCAGCAGAGAGAATTTTTGCCTTAAAAAGGTTTACTTTTATTCAAGTCAATGTTCTGTTTAACAAGAAGACAATATGGAAAATCATTCTGCCTGGCATCAGTAATTTCAGTTTCAAGGGGTTACCTTGCAGTGCACATCCCTTGGGATAAAGGGATATGTGCATTTTTCCTGTGGTCAATTCACAGTTATTGAAATAAATAGTTAATGTGTGCATATAGAAACCTGACTACTGATATTTAGTTGCTGTGTGTATACAATATATGCTATTATTCTACATTGATATGATATTAAAAACACATAATTGGAAGCATTGTAAATACATTATTTAGTCATGACCCACTGGTCTACCGCTAACACTAGTCTCCAGATTTGTATTAATAACAAACTTATAAAAGTAAACATTGTTACATCACCTACAGTAAACTGTAATTTGTTAATTTACTTGTTAGCAAAAACATTGTTACTTTGTACATTGTTATACAGCACAGGACCGTTAATATTGTCATTATTTTATCTTGGAACCGTTAAAAGTCCTTTTGCATCTCCACTTTTATTGACAAGGCTGGTTATATACTGTGGCTGTGAGTGCAAAGCAACAGCCCCTTGATTGTTAATAAAATAAGAAAGAAAAGGTGCACAACCTCTGGGGGGAAAATACAATGTTCGTTTTTAGATTCAACTTTTTTTCTCTATGTTTATGGTCACTTCTCCAAAACATCTCATATTACTTTATTACTGGATGGTGTTGGTATTATACATTTTGTGGTTCCATGGATAATTCCAGATTATTTCCATATGGTATAAAACCCAGACATGGGCAATTTGTTACAAACGGTTTTCAGCTCTTCTACTTGCCAGCAGTCTTCATTCCTATCTGCTACCACTCCTGTAAGCTCCACAAAGGGATGTGGGGTCTCACTCTCTGAGGGGGACAGAAAAACACAAGCACATCCATCCTTAGCCCCAGAGCCCTAGAATACCCACCATGTCTGTCAAGCCTCTCTCAATACAATGAACAGTGTGTTCTTCCTGAGGAAAACAAGATACAACAGAGCAACAAACCACTTTCTTGCTCAATTAGACTCTTTACCCAAGCAGATTCATGCAGTATATTCATATTTACCTGGACAGCCTAGGCATAATTCACATACAGAAAGATCTTTTTTTATTGGCAATCACTGCGGCAGCTGGAGTTTTTGATGTCTTGTGGATCGTGCAGCTGCCAATCTGAAGTTGAGGGATGAACACAGAATGCTGGGAAGTCTTCCACCTACTGTATGTGTGGACAAGTTATTGTTGGGACATGCAGTTTGTTCTACTTCTACATTTTACTTTTGAGTCCCATTTGCAAAAAGGTTCACAAGAACATGAAGACACTCAAAATGTTAATGAATACAGTTTTTAAGATTTCCTGGAGGAGTGCTCAAAAGTATTTTGACGCACGCAAGTATTTTAACGTGTCCAGGGAATGGGGAAACCTGGTCAGCTGGTGTCATGTCAGAGCTATACAGGTAGTTCACAATACCCTGTCATTGCAAATGAATTAGGTCAGGAGAGTGGGAATGAAAGAAAGCATTTATTGAAAATGTCAAAAAATCACCCCTTAAAATTAATGAATAAAGTATGTCTTATTTCACAGATAAGATTTTGCGATCACACAAAAACTCAGACACATGGAGATGAAAAAGATAAACAACAGTTGTGCTGTCTGTGGAACATAAGCAAGAGCTCTGCTCTGCTTTTTACTAGGCTGTCATCATCGACGATGCCTGATATCCATCAACTCTCCACAGAACATTTATACTGTTCTACACCAGCATGATGAAGGGGTTCCACTCACTCCACTTATTTATGGAATTAAGCCAGGATGTATTTTTTGTGAACAAATTTGCATTTAAATAATTAAAACCCATAACATTAAAACAGCTGAACAAATTATGAAAAATACACAGAAACAAAATGCAATGGAGATTGGGCACTCACTAGAAACAGAAACAAAAGAAAAAAATGTTAAAACAATTGAGAATAAAGTCTTCTGTGCTTAGGAACAATGTTTATACTAATATAATGCACTTTTTGTGAACAATAACAACTTTCCTAAACATTGTATGTAAATCATTATAATAAAATATGGTTCAAGGGTGCCTCAGTCTCCATTCCCCACCCCAAAACAGATTTTTGGCAGCAATTAGATCTGGGATAAATCAGATCAATAATTAATATTGTGACTGAGCACTGACAGAAGTTGTCACTCAGCAAGAATTGCAGTATGTGAGGTTCACTGGCTGGCACGGTAACACCACCACATTTGGGAGCTCATCAGTCACATATACCCAAAAGGGCTCCGTCACAGGACACGTGTAGGTGTGAGCCAGTAACACCCTGAGTGCATCTGGGTCTTCACTTGGAACAGCTGGCATGATGTGCCAGACAATCTGTGTCAGCAAGAACAACTGCAAAACACCCTGCTCTTCACTCGTTAGCAGAAAGGAATAACGCACATGGAACACTTTCCTTTTTAAAGAAGAGAGTGGAATCAAAAGAAAAGACCATAATATAATAATATTAATTAATTGTATTTATATAGAGCTTTTTCATCTTGGAGGATCCCAAAGCACTAGGAGAGGACCCCTAGTTTAATGTCTCAAACTATGGCACTTCCTACAGCACAGTGCCCAAAAATACATATACAGAGAAACGTCCTCACCCCCCATCAAAACACCAAAGAAGCCTATAGAAAAATTAATTTCAATATTGAATACTATTTGTTGTAGAAGGTACAACCCAGATATAGCCAGAAGTACCCACAAATCGGTATGTGTGGTAAGAAAGTGCCATCATGCCAAGACAGTGCATCCAGTAATCTGGCAGCCTGAAGGATCAACTGTTATGGATATAGTAAAGCAGTTTAAAAATGAAGTTGCAAGGACTGTCCTTATGTATGCCATAGCCCCCAATCATCCAAGGATTCTCAGAATTGCCTAGCAATAATCAACAAGGGTAGCCATTTTAGGAAAGAGTTCTTTCAGAATTGATAAGATCATTTATCTCCAAAGTTTCTCTTAAGTCAGCAATGCACAAATCAAACCACCTCTGTCTTCTATCTAATTTGCCAGATAGGATCTTAGACACTTTTTCTTGTTCTCCACCTCTTTGATGTTGTGTGATGTCTGCTGCTAATCTACCTGAATTTTATCAATCCTTTTGGTTTATGGATGGGAGGGCAGCTGTAAACTTCTCTTTAGCTAAAGATTGGCTAATTAACTGAGAAATTCAGACTATTGTACCACTTTCACATAAGCGAAGAGATCAGTTTGTACAGTCCCTTATGCAGCGCACAGAAAAACCTCCTAGTGAGCAAGCCGTGCTTCAGGGCAGTTCCCCTGTGTGTCACCAGGTGACAACCATGGGTTCTTGGCCATGATCATTGAAGTATGATGCATCTTATATTTTTTACTTGACAATATCTTACAACAATAAATACAGAGCACTGAATGTGAGGGCATGTTTCTTAGTGTTTCTTACTTTGCTTTCTTCTTGTGAGCCACTGCGATATATTGGCTAATTGATTGTAAAAAGAGAAAATAAGTACAGACAGAAATACACGCACTCTGTCCAGTTTACTGTTTGGGATATGACTCATCTGATTTGCTGATTAAATCTCTCAGTGAAGCCCTTGAACCAATTGCCGGAAAGTGATTTCTATAAACACTCCACATGTTTAATTAATGAACAGACATGAGTGGCAGGGCATTGGATAAGACTGACATTCTCTCTTTAGACATATTTCTCTGACAGCAAGACCGTGGACAACTTCTAAATTTAAAAAATGTTACGGAAATGTTTTTGAGCATGAAACTTGCTGATTTCTTTTCTTTTACTCCCCGAAGTCTATAAAAAAGGACCAGACGTTCTTCTGGTTACACAATACATATTGTGTGTTCCATATTCATATGTATTAAACTAGTATTGCATGAGCTTCGGATACAATTGCATGACTGTTGGTACTGTCATGTTGATAGTAAGGTTGATGTTTGTTCTTGTTTGTGTTTTGTTTATTAATCTATACATGAAAATTCAATTAAAAATGCTGATCTCAAAAAAAGAACCAGAGGTTCAAAATTCAAAACTCCTGCATGTTTTGGAGAAATATTATTCAATCTGAATTTTAAAGAGGCATGACTGCAGTCACCGTTTTATCACAATCAATGCAATTTAGAACAGACGGCTGAACTTCAGGAGTTCATTATCATTTTAATTAGTTGAAGCTGCATACAGAAACTAGTAATCGTCTTCCTCTCCATTTTTTGTGTGTTTATTGCAAAATGAGACAAAAAGTTAAGATATGAGTAGTTAAATAACAATAAGAGAAAACCTAATGTTGCTATAAAACAATACTTGTAGCAGCTAAAATAACCTCAATACTTAAGGAATTAAGTGTTTATTATGTTTCTCTAATATGAAGAGGTGTATCCTATCCTTTCCAGTTTGACTGTGGAACAGAAATTGTTCTGTCAAAGGCAAGTTAAAGATTTGAAAGTCACTATTAGGTGTCATTTTGTTCCAACAGTGACTTAATTTCTAATCCTGTTAGACTTCTTCCCAGGAGTAGAGAACATCGTAGTCAGCCTACAGGTAAACACAGCCCTAATCATGCCCTCTACTCTTTGTCAAGACAGGGTAATTGTGATTATTTCATTGGTAACTTTATGTATATATATAAAATATATAACATTACTTTATTAACCCTTTACAGTTTCTTGCATTAGAAATTATCTTTTCACATACCCCAGCTTGCTCTCCATGAGACACACAGACAGGGAGAGAGCTTGGGGAGTGCCCCTGGAGCAGTTGGCGTTAAGGGGCCTTGCTCAGGAGCCCAACAGAGTAGGATTCCTCTGCCGGCTGCGGGATTTGAACCGGCAACCTTCCAACCACAGGCGCAGATCCTTAGCCACAGAGCCACCGCTCCACCCCAAATGTATGCCACATATGTAATTTTGAACAATATAAGAAAAGGAAAAATGCAAAAAGGGCAAGTGGCTATTTGTGCATCCATCTCGGTCTGTTCTGAGGCATTTACACACTTCTTTATACATATGTAGCAAACATTATGATGCAGAAGCTAATAGATTCCAGGCTGAGAATTCATTTCTGTGTAGTTTGTTCACAGAAGAAAAGTGCACAGAACCTAAGCCTGGCTAATTAACCAATTTGTTTATTAATTCACTTCAAAAACATGCCAGTAATGTGAATTTTCAAGCTGTTGAACCCATTGCTGTTTTACAAATTATATGAGCGGCAGTGCTCTAGGTAAAGTGCTCTACCTAGTCAATTTCAGCACCAGTCATTTCCACACACTTATGATCTGTTTAAAACAAATAAGCCAGCTGATAAATTCAGAGAGCAGGAAAGGGTGAGCTGGGGGCTGAATAAAACAGACTTGTGCACAGTGGAAAATACAGGTAGACAATTCAGCTGAAGGCCAAGGCATGTCATGATTAAATAGGAAATCAAAAAAAACAATTTGGCATAATCTTCTTCTCAAGCAAATTGCCTGCAAATTGCGCACCCAGTTCATTTGTAACTACGTGTATTGCTTATATTTTAGAAAGATTGGAAGGTACTGTTTATTGTTCACTTAATTAATAAACATCATAGTTTAGTTAAACTCCAGTTCAGGAGCTCAGGCACTGTCATCGTGGCTCTCTCTCATCCTAGCGTTAATCCCGCATCAGCAAGGTCTGCTTGTCGGCACGCCCGTCTCCATTTGGTAGTTTGAACTAAATCTTTGAGCTGACGTTGCCATTAAATGCGACCGAGAATACTCCAACCGGTGCGTCACTCCGCCTGCCGTCGGAGAGGGGGGGGAGGAGAACAAAGTAATGTACAGTAGGCAATTCATAAAGGGGGATTATTAGGAGGCATAGGAAACAGGATGCCAGGGTTACACCCCTACTCTTTACGAGAAACTGGGATTTTTAAATGACCACAGAGAGACAGGACCTCGGTTTTACATCTCAGCCGACGCTTGTTTACAGTATAGTGTCCTCGTCACTATACTGGGGCATTAGGACCCACATGGACCGCAGGATAAGCGCCCCCTGCTGGCCTCGCTAACACCTTTTCCAGCAACACTTAGTTTTCCCCAGGAGGTCTCCCATCCAGGTACTGACCAGGCTCACACCTGCTTAGCTTCAGTGGGCTGCCAATTGTAAGTTGCAGGGTGACATGGCGGCTGGCAGACACTGTCATCGTGCCTAAAACGCGGATTTTGAACCCCAAAATGACATCTCATCTTTCATTTTTGATGAGAATCAAACAATCCTTGTGTGGTCAGCTCCACTTTCGTTTATTATCTTAACTTGATTGTTTCCTTGCCTGCTGCTCCATCACCACCACCTTACATTCAAGGCAAGATGACAATATCTTTTCTTTGGTTTTGCGGTGATTAACCTAATAGTTAGCTTGCAGTAGTTTGCAGAAGGTTCAGCTCTGTGCCTGCCCTGCTACACATATATGAAGTATGCTTTACCATACCACTTTTCCCTTTACTATGATTTCTTGTGGTTAGAGGCAAGGGGTTTTTCAGTGTTATGTGTAAGGTCATTCTGAGTCAAACCTCAAATTAGAAACCCTGCAGTCTATAAAGAACAAGAATTACATGTTGGTTATCCATAATAGTGAATAGTGAATGAAAGGTCCAGGTGATTCTTTTGATCTTATGATTGGAATAGAATGTAATACAGCTATTAGCAATTTGATTTTTTTTTAGGATTCATGTGCAGTCTGCAAGAGCTCAGCAGGGAGTACATGAGACGCGTCAGCTACGAAGATCTTTGATCAAATTTAGCATTTGCAATAGGAGTCGACAATTTGGAAATCATAAGAGCCACGGGATACATACCTGTAGCTCCCAGCTTGACTGTAGAGAGGCACTGGTGTCCTCCAGTGCGTGCTGCCTGAAACAGACTATTTTAGTTCCAGCTAATTTGGAATCTCAAGCTGCTTTCACTTTTTTTTGTTTCTAACAGCACTTAATACATCATCTATTCAAAAACTGCTGACCATCATTGAGCTAGAACGATTTAGTTAAATGAAGCAAAGCTCTCAGACACCAGCACTTAACAGCTCACATTAGCAGCAGGAGTTCACAGTAAGAGAAAGAGCACTAGAAAGATACTTTCTTTATATCTCCCCTGTGCTGTTCATTGTCTTCTTTTCTATCTCCTTAGTTTTAGTTTCTCACCTTGACTTCTTACTTAGCTTCTATTATTTCACTCATTCTCTCCTTCTCCATTCCTCATATTTATTCCTGTAGACCTTTCTGTATTCATTCATATGTATAGAACTGCAGTGCAGGAACCTGCTGTAAACCAGACCTTTGACTGCATCAGGTCTAAAGGTCCAATCATATATGAATTTCTTTGATCTTTTTTTGATTGGTGATCCTGTTCCTAAATAAAACAAATCCATTCTAATATCTCCTTCAAAACATAGCATATAGTAAAACTCAACATCTCCAAATATTGTGCATTATGGCCACTTGTATGCTCCATAGTAAACCCAATTCAGAATAATAATTCCCAGACTTGTTAAGAAAGAATGACTAAGAGATCGCTTGCAATTCGAGTGAATGGTGCTCCTTTAATTAATTGCATTTATACAGCACTTTTCCTCCCCTTCTTTACATTTGTTTTGTCTCCATCAATTGCAGGTACTTGTCTCCATCTGTGATTATGGCCAGGCACAACTGCTCCACACAGGACCTTCTGCATCCATCAAGTAGCCAGCTGGTGTGTAGCACAGGCCTGCCTTACAACAACAGCTTCCTAGGCAACTGGAGTCAGCAAATGGAGGACCTATGTCTGAGCCAGGAGGAGCTGCTGGAGAAATACCTGGGGCCCCGCCGCTCCTCCTTCTTTCTGCCTGTCTGCATCGCCTATCTCATGATCTTCGTGGTGGGAGCAGTGGGTAATGCGCTGACCTGTACCGTGATCGCCCGTAACAAGGTGATGAGGACGCCCACTAACTATTATCTCTTCAGTCTGGCTGTGTCTGACCTGCTGGTGTTGCTTTTGGGTATGCCACTGGAGCTGTATGAGATGTGGAGCAACTACCCCTTCCTGTTTGGCAAGGGGGGTTGCTATTTCAAAACCTTCCTCTTTGAGACGGTGTGCTTTGCATCTATCTTGAATGTGACAGCCCTGAGTGTGGAGCGCTACATTGCTGTGGTGCATCCTCTCAAGGCTAAGTACGTGGTGACCCGTACCCATGCCAAGCGCGTCATTGTGACCGTGTGGGCAGTGTCAGTGCTCTGCGCGATCCCCAACACCAGCCTGCACGACGTCTCCTACCTGGTGTCTGCCACTGGCTGCCAGATCCAAGAGTCGGCTATCTGCACGCTGGTGAAGCCCCGCTGGATGTACAACCTGATCATCCAGATCACGACTCTGCTGTTCTTCGTTCTGCCCATGCTGACTATCAGCGTGCTGTACCTGCTTATTGGCCTGCAGCTCAAGCGCGAGAAGATGCTGCAGGTCCTCGAGGCCAAGTCCGGCCTCGGCAGGGACAGCTACCACAACATCCGCATCCAGCAGCAGAAGGCCAGGAGAAGGCAGGTCACCAAGATGCTTTGTGAGTTTTCTCCAAACGCACATACTCTTCCACACACCCACACTTACCGTTTCATCCAAGTGTGGTTTTGTTTACTCACACACTGTTTCCATATTGAGCACCGCCTCAACCACAGGAAATCCCCATCTCATACACAGTTCATACATGGAAACTTTAGTGCCCGGTTGTTCCACCAGCTCATGACTCTTGTTGTTTTCTTAGCTTTTCACACTGATCTCCCTTGCGAACCCATGTCTCTCTGCCCAGCTAGGCATTCGGTTTTGGATTTTTCATATTAACATGGATATTTAATCTGAGTGCCCCATTATGTAACTCTTTCATTATTTTTAAGTGTCAGGATTCAAGATAAATAACATCCAGTTTTACTATTCATATTACTTTTATATGTTGATTTTAAATTCGCATTATTATATTTATAATTTTTAATAGAGAAATCTGCAAACTATGTTAGCCATAGACACAGACTGTGGGAAATCTAAACCCTATTTTCAAGTATTTACCAACAGCAGTTTTTGAAATTATGGAGACTTTCAGGAATGTAACTCTGGCAGTTGACAAGGAAGACCTCTACTGTTTTGTTGACACAGGAAGATGTTCACAAAATAAGGATCTGAACTGTCTATGCAATTCACTTGTCATTTTTCTTTGCACTTTACACATCCTGACAGGTATTTAAATTCACAAGTTTTAAGATGTCAGCCTGCCTTCAATGCAATTCTCTACACACATTGATGCTGCAGAAATAACCAGTACAAATGGCATTTCTCCAGGAGCTTAAACAAAAAGCAGCCTCAAGGACACACCCACCAAAATCAAGATGACATGTCAAAAATGAGTGCACTATGCACTTTCTATCTGAGGTGAAATAATCATTTGGAGGCTATCAATGGCAATCAAAAATATAGGCAGGATACTAAAGCAGCTTTAGCATCATGATATATTATGCAGCCACTTCAAAACCCTGCTATTTATTCTTAAATATAGAATGTTACTCCAAAAATTATTGAAAAAAATATTTCATGATACCCTAATTCAGCTCTTTGTGAATGACTAAGAAGAGAGGGAGAAAAAATGTGCCTGCTGTATGAATCTCTGGTTGTTTTTCTTGCTGAGCACACCTTGTATCACTGCTGGAAAATTGAGAATGTCTTCAGACACTGGAGTACAAAAGGTGTATAAAAATTAACTGGACACCTTATAACTTATTATTGTATTCTCTTTTCTCCAATCAGCCTAAAGGTTATACAGTAGTAATCAGTATGCAAAAGCTGTCTATTGTAGATGTCAATGCTCAACAGAAGGCTGGAGGAGAGAGATAATTGGATAGGAAGGCAATCAAGCATCAAGCCAAGCAACTGCAGAGAAGTATGTCAAAAAAGCTGTTTCTCAAGTAGACTGCAACAGCAGAGCCTCATGCCCTTACAGCTTGTTTCCCTATGTCCTGGTGACTGTCTGAAACAAATGGTGGACCACATTACACTAGCAGAATGTTCTTCACAACAGTGCATTCATTCTTCACACAAACTAATTAGCAAACTAATCCATTACCACCTTTCCAAACCTGTCTAAAACAGGAATTGTTACAGCTACAAATGACGAAGAAATGTAATTTCCTCAAATCAGATTACAGTACCATGTTAGGAGTAGGGTTGACAGTTAGACTCTTTAATATACTCAGTCCTGTACAAGTAAATTAGTGCTGATGGTGACCCTGCGCATTTACGTAACTACTGTCTTTCAAATTTGATTTAGAAGGATTTACCTATCAATTACGTCCACTGAGGAGGAGGCTGGATATGACGGATTGTTAAAAGTGTCCTCTGGAAATACAAGTGAAAGCATGATGGGCTCTGAATGATCTCTGTTCACAGAGGGGAGTGTGGGGAGAATGTTGTAATTTCCTACAGTGATTCACTTATAACTTTCTGAGAAACTGCTTGATTAAATTTGCTTTGACTGAACCACCACTAAATACAGTGGGGACAGAGCAGCATCCTTTCATACAGTATGTGGTCTTCCTGATGCTTTTAGGGAAATAGGGGCCCTGGAGGGTAAATGTCAGATCTATCAGATGCTACCTGGTTCCAGGGCTAGGATCAGCACAGTCTACCTGGAACCAGGAAAAACACATTTCCACCAGATCCTGGGAAAATGCAATCCTTCAGCAGCTTTTGTTTCCAAATATCACCTTTTGTTTTGAAGTTAGAGACACTCCTTAAAATCAGCAGATATCTTTTTTTCCGCAATGCCTTGCAGTGTAGTGCTTTTACTTAAAATTAATAAATGGCAGAAAATGTAAAATATTAAATAAACAGAGGACAAAATATCCCACTGTCATAAGAGAAACCTCTCAAAAAACTGAATCTATGATTGAGTTCAGGAGTTTGAATTTTGTAAAAACAATTCTAAAAAACGTTTTAGATTAATTCTAGATTTTCTACAGCTCCGCGAAGTTGAGCACCTACAAACAGCACAAACGATTAAACCCACCTCATTGTCTTAGTGCTGCCTTTGTGCCGGTTTCTGTTGTCGAAATGAGCTCTAGTACTGCTTTCCTTTCCAAGATATAGCGCTTTGTTTATTCGGGGTCGTGACATCACTCACCCCCCCTTAAACACTGTAGGGGAACTGAACTGGACTTATTCGTAGTGCTGCATTTGTGCCGGTTCGTGCCATTGAAAGTAGCCTCCCAGGTGGTTTAATTCCCGAGATTAGCACCTTCTTTTTTTGGGGTGATCACGTGACCATGCACGGCGACTTTGACCTCCAGAGACCCCCTCTGTTAAATTCAAGCACTCTATTATCAGTGCGAGAATAACAGTGTCTGAATTTTTTTCTCTGCCTGGAGGGTGGGCAGCGATTGATTTTGCATTTAATGCCAGTATCTTCTGTGCATCTGTGTGAATAGGAAAATTAAATTTGTTTCCAATGTCATACCCTATTTAGAAGAACTGAGTGTTCAGCCTTTTAAAAAGCAAAGATTAGAAAACAATTGCATGTTCTTAAAAAGGCTTTAACAAGCAGGTCAAAGGCACCGTGCGTGGTCACATGATCACTCCAAAAAAGAAGTGCTGCATCTCGGGAACGAACCCAGCTCAGTTCCCCTACAATGTTGTAGGGGGGCTTGGTAAGGTCACCCCCCGAAAAAGAAGCCGTTATATCTCGAGAACGAAAGCAGCTGGGAAGCTACTTTCAATGGCACAAACTGTCACAAATACAGAACTAATGAATGATAGCAGTTCAGGTCCACTACAGTGTTGTAGGGGAGCTGAGTGATGTTATGACCCCGAAAAAACAAGGCGCTATATCCCGGAAACGAAAGCAGCACTAACAAATGATGTGAGTTTCATCGTTTGTGCTGTTCGTTGGGGGGCCGCCTACACGGAGCTATTTTCTACATTACCCACCGTGTCTTTGACTTGCCTGATTTCCTTTGCGATGGTGTCTGAGAGCTCTGGGCCAAGCTCTGTCAACATGCAAACAAACAATAGAAGCACATTACTGTATTGTGGTAAACCAGGTCTCTGAGCAAAGATCACATGGTGGTAAGGGAAGTTAAATGGTACCAATGAGGAGTCCTAATATGCAGAGCCTAGAACCTAAGCATTTTAAAGATACTAAAATTAACAGGTACGTGCAGCCAGTGTAAGATACTGTAGCAATGATGTGAGCAATTGTGTGTGACCTTGTCAGGAGTTTTTGTATGTGCGACTTTGCATTGTTTCCCATTTGCTCAGTTGTATTGTGTCTTGGAACTGCAGAAGACTCTGTTTCACAGTAAAAGATAAAGTTAGGGATAAAGCCATAGTGAACATTAATGTATAAACTCATGCACAGACAGTGGTTTATGAAAGCTGTCTTTGTTTTACATATTCAGGTCATTTTGTTTGAATTAAATTAAACTCCTCACACTTCTCACTAGCTACAGTGTTGCTTTGTCACAAGAGTTGCTGCTGCATGGCACAGGGAAGTAATCCTGGCTTACTCTAAACCAGCCATTGCCTGTCCAGCTGTACACAAGCACATGGAGTATCCTAGTCACAGTCACCTAAGGACAAGTCCCAGAGTGGAGAGAGTTTTAATTGACCAGTTGAGCCACTGTTGTCTGTTAAAATCCAAGCCTTTTTCTATAATGCCCTTATCTCTGTTTTGGCAATGTGTAACATTACATTGAGTAAATAAATGGAAGCCCAATGAATTCATTCATGTTCAATTACTTCCTTCCAGTGAAGCTGAAATGAAGAATTAGGTTGCTCAAAGGAGGTAATGCAGCAAATGCCTTCAGAAATACTTATCCGCATAAAAGCGAACAAGAGTAATAAACACAGACACATCTAAGATCTAGCCAACTGTATATAGGACCCAGGAGAAAATGTATTTCTGTAACTAAAAAAATATGCCTACAAAATGATGCTTTGACATCCTGGACATTTATTTACAGAACGTTTCTGTTGGGTTTTTGAGAGAGACATGTTACAATAGAAAGCAATGAAGTATTTTCTCTCCAGCAGCTGAGGCACATACACACCACACCTTTAAATCCAGGAAGGGGAACAAGCAGTGGAATTCTCCTGCCTCAATAATGAATGAGAGCATCTGCACCGACCCAAATCAATTCACACAAATAAATAGAAAACTGATTACTGACTCATTGCTTCAGACCTTGCTGATGCTTTATGAAAAACCCATCATGTCATTTTGTCATGTAATGCCAGCAACTGTATTGACAAAAGTCAGGTCCTCTTTAGCACTGCGGTTGTCAAGTTCTGCAAAACATTCAGCAAACTTTCAGAGCTTAAGCATGTAGCCTGCTAATTGAAACAAACTCAGGAGCAGCAAGAAAGGCTTCTCCTGCCACATGTCATTACATTATGTGACAGGATTTCATTTTCTCAGGGGATTCATGTCTGTGACCTAATTACAAACCCACAGTGGGTAAATGGCTACAAATCAGGGGCACATAAATTGCCCTCATGAATTGCCAGTGTCTTACCCATTAAATGCATTATGTTGCTAACTCTCTGAGACTCTGTGCAGCAAGAAAAGTGAAATTGAGACTAGAGCCTTGCTACACAGCTGTTAAGAGTTTACCTAGAGTGTTTCCATTCACTCTTGGGTTGTAGTAAGCGTCTCCTTTTTCTTCTGTTTTCCTGGTGGTTCTGCCTTCAAATCCTGTTCTGTAGGGGACTTTTTCAGAAAAAGACCATACTTGTCATTCAGTGATAGTTGTCTTAATTAAGAAGGGGTATGATCACTCTGCTTCTCCAATTTAACCACCAGTTTAACTTTAAGTAGGCCCACATTGAAGCCTCATTGACATATGGAGGTTGACATATTGACATATGAACTTGTTCTGTCAACCTTGTCCTTGATGATTCATATTTTTGGACTGGCATCCCATCCAGGGTGTATGCCGCCTTGCACCCTTTGCTTTCCAAGATTCCGTAGGTTGTGGGTGAGCCTGAATTGGATAAAGCAGATAGAAAATGGATGAATGGAATAATGACACCTCAAGCAGCATGTCTGAACTTATTTGCTTAGCTTAGTTCTAAGCAACATCACCCTGTTGCAAACTGCAAGCACCTATACCACACTAAAGCCTGGACTTTTCATATCTCCCAGGTCTAGCACTACTGAGCTTTGGAGATCTCGGAGAAAAACTGGGCAGCTGCTGAAAGTGGTGCAGGTGGAACAGAAGTTGACACTCTTCCCTTTGGATCAGACATTTCAAGCAAAAGCCTCTGTACAATGATAATAAGCAATTTACTACAGGAGCTGCCATCTTGCAGGAGTGACATTAAAAAGCTGCCAAGCTCTGGTTATTATAGATCCCAGGAGTGTGTGAATGAGTAGAGGTGGAAATTCTGTTGTTGCTGCTGAATTCCAGTTCAAGCTTTCTGTCTTACTTAGCTAAGTATCTCCCGCTATTGTAACTGGCTCAGTAATTTTGGATGTTTCCTCCTAATCTGCTGTTCAGTTCAGGTGCCGATAGTGAATGAGTTGCAGAACTACCTTCAGTGAGAACAAAGGAGTCCCTTCCTACCCGTGAACAACTGATAGATGTTCTGGCAACTCTCTCAAAAGATAAAGCCTTAAAGACAGATGATTCTTTTATGAAGTTGTTTCCTGGAAGTGCAACTAATTTTCACAAGGCCGGGTTGTGTCCTTTGAAACAATGTGCTGACTAAATAAATGCAGTCCCTGTGGAGTAGGTGTGCTGCTTTAAAACACTGCAGAAGTATTTAAGCATCAGTAATTTGTTCAGTCTCCATCCCAGCTGGATTGACAAGAGGTAGTGTTGTCATCAGGATTAGAGCTGATAATTCAGGAGCTGCAGGGTCACTGTAGAGTGGTCCTACAGTGGGCCAGTTGAGTTAGAGTTAATTTATGTGCACTGTCCCCCATGAAGACCTTAAAGTGACTCTACATTAACTGCCCCTTCTGTGTTTCTCTGTAGTTGTGCTGGTTGTGGTGTTCGCAATCTGCTGGGCCCCCTTCCACACGGACCGGCTGATGTGGAGCTTCATCAACCACTGGACAAGTTTCATGCATCACCTTTACCAGTGCGTGCACATTATCTCTGGAGTCTTCTTCTACCTCAGCTCCGCCGTCAACCCCATCCTCTACAACCTCATGTCCACACGGTTCCGTGAAATGTTCAAGGAGGTCATGTGCCGCCAGGCTCATCAGCCAGGAACCAGGAAGTATTCCCTCAGCGTCACGCGGGTAACTCTGCGCAGCACGGTGTGCGAGACCCCACCCAGCAATGGGGTCGCGATTTCCGATGGAGAAGAGTATGATGTCTACATTGAGTGTCAGCCTGACAATGAGACCACAACCACCTAGTGCCAGTGGCAGAGCATGACAGCTCCACATGACTCATTCCCTGTACATTTATGGAACCACAGGCAGGGCCACACCTCTGTATAAGCTAGTATCCAGTTCATGCCCAGTTACTGTTTGCAAACTCTGTTGGAAGTCCAAAGCAGATCCATTCCTTAAATACCACCTGTCCTTCCTGGAAGAGGAGGCTAGGTTTGCCAACACAATCAGACAATTTGAGATAGGACAGGTTTTTCACCTTGCCTCTAAATCAAGATATACTTTCTATTACTTTAGATGGTTGTTAATTGTTTAAAAAGTGGATTTAGCAAAAATGAAATGAAAGACATCTGCTAAATTTTCACTAAGCAGCATGCATTAGTTTTATATGGAATAAAAACATAAGCTAGCATTATCTTGAATTACTGCATCTCCTATGACTCATACGTCCTTAAAGGCTGGAGTCATTCAGCAGGACAGTGACAACTATTAACCAGAGAGGTTTGGCCAGAGCCAATGGCCAAAGACTGGTACTTATCACTAGCTTGTCCTTCAACAGAAGGTTCCCCATCTCTTCTTATCCTACTTATGAAGTGGACAGCACAACTTAATCTGGCATGTGAGAAGCAGTCCCATGAGGGCTTTGGATGGAGGTGTAGACAAATGTTTTGCCTGCAGTGCTGGCTGGTCATTAGGGGGATCTTGGGTGCTTCCCTACCAGTTTCAAACCAACACATTTAGCTAACACAGTTTATAAATAAATAGTACTGCTAATTGGAAGTAACCCAAACAAAATCAGTTTAAATAATACAAACTACAGTTTGTCTATGTCTACTTGTAAAATAAAGATAATGCTTTTCCACTATGTATTATATAACTAAAAATTATATATGTGTAAAAAGCATCTTTGGGAACTCTCCTTTCCTTTCCTGTACCAACAGTGGAAGACAAAAAAAGGCCTTCACCTCAAAGACTGTTCCTCCTCAAAGACTTGGCACGCAGCAAGAGCTCTTGAATGGAACTCATAAATTTCTTGCTTTTATAAAAGAACTTTTTTTTTTGTCTTGTGCCTCATCTCAGCTTCCAGTAACAAGAAGGCTGTTAATATTTGTGTCATATGGAAAAGGCAAGAACAACATCTCACTTTCTTTCAGAACATCTGCTTGTTTTTCCTTTAAATGGATAATTCACCCAAGTCTCGCTGCTAATGCTTCAAGTTTACCAGCAGCTGGACAGCCACAGGGGGCACTACTGTGTAGCAAGAAAAGACAAATCTGGCCTACTTTCAAACTCTCCAACCCTGGCATTACTCAGACAATTGTTAGTTGTCCTTTGGATGTCCCAGCTGTGTTTAGCTAGTGACCTGTACCTAGACTGAATCCTGTTCTCCGTCTTATTAGGTCTTTACAGGTTGAGTCACTCAGGAGCCTCCTGAAGTTAATTTTCACAGAAGTCAGATTTTACTTTTTTCTCTTTTTTAAATGTTTGTAAATAAAGGCTTCATTAGTAATGCATGTGTGTGGCATTGACTATGATGAGTTCTCTAAAAAAAACATCACCAGACCTTGTCTGTTAGATGAGTTAGATCAAAGTGGAAAAAATGAAAAAAAGTGTTGTACTGCCATAGGGAGCCTGCAAAGCTTTATAATGATGTCAAAAGATTCTGGAGGCTGTACCTATCACTGTGATCAGACAAGACAGATGACATCACTCTCATTCTCCTCACTACCTAAAGCAGATCTGCTGGACTATGCTGTAACTCCAGCTGTCGATTAACTTCATTGATGCTAATATGGCTTCTAAAAACTTTAAAGCTGTGCAATTAAAGATTCACATTTCTTTCAAGGAAATGAAACACAGTTTCACTGTAATTTTGCTGTTCATCCATGTTAGAAGCAATGTGTTTGACACTAAACACAAGCATCCGTATAATATAAAAAATGTGGAGATTTGTAGGCTTTCATCCACAAATGCTTAAGACTTAAGAGATATTTTGCAGTGAACACCAATTATAATTACAAATGGAGATATTATGTACTGGGTGAACATTATCCAGACATTGAGGCTGACTATTGAAATATTAACATACCGTACTTGTAAATACTAGTAATATAATATGTGCTGTGAATACTTAAAGGCATTGTGATTCAGTTTGTAACCAACTTTGTTACTACATTATATTGTATCAATCCTAACTTGTTATTCTTGGGTTTTACTATCTATTTAGCGTAGAAGTTGCCCTACTTTAATGAAGGATTTTATTGCTGGAAGACACCCCTGACTGCAAGGGGCACTTTTTACCACACATAGATGACAGGTAACAGCCTGAGAGAAATGACTTTACTCAATTGGAATTTGTACCTAAACATCCTTGTTTTCAATTGCTGCTGATTTTCTTGCGGATAGTTACACACTACACACCTGTTACAGTATAGCTCCATGTGCTTGTAAATGTCTGGCCTAACAATGATGAATGTGACTAAAATACTGCTGGCCATTAATAAGCCTTTTCATTGCGCATGTAAGGGTCTGATGGTGGAATACAGCTGAAGGCCACAAGCCCCATGGATCTTGTTCAATCTAGCATACAGCAGATCTTGTAGACGTTTTGTGTAAGTCTGTCTGTATCACCTCATTAGGCGTGTGGGGGGACATTGAAAAAAACACAACGTTTGTCACTTTGAAAACAAACACTTTCTGATTCTATTGATGTCTTCTATTATTTCTAATAGCCGTGCCAGATCAAGCTGGCCCTGTCTTCTTTTTCAAAGTAGACCTCTGTATTTTGAACTCACCGTGCGTGTCTGTATTGTTGTTGGCTGCTGTATTGTTACTGGCTGCTGATAAGAAACCATGCTGGAACACTGCCTGAACTGCACATCTGTTTTGAAAACATGCTCGCTCACAGGTCCCTGGGGAGGGGAACAGATGTTACAAGCCCTTCTTCCACTCCTGTATAACCTAAAGCCCTAGGAAAGGAGGAGAACTCTAACCTAACGAGAGCAGATATGTTGAGTGTTTCAGAATGAGTGTTACAAGCAACAGTCACACTGGTAATACCGACAGAATCAAGAATAAGTGGATTTTAAAGGAGCGGGTCCTTACCACGATCCTTCAGTTTTTCTTTGCTACTTAATGTTCCTCGATGGCTAGGTTCCCCCACAGGTCCACATTAATCCAACTGCTTATTATCCAAACAAATTCCGTTAAGTCTAACACTTCGAATCAGATACTATACCTACCGGTGTTCTCAGGTAGACTAGGTTTACCTATTGTACACCCACAATTCCCAGCAGTCAGCAAATCCAACAAAGTTCCTTCTCTAAATTTGAAACCTAATGTCACCTGTTTATTTCTTTTCTTTTCCTTGTGCTTTTACACCTATGTTATTATCCTGGCCTACAGCCTGTGTGACCTCCCACATGGTGACTTATAGCAGAGCTTGAGAGACTAAGTGAGAACTATGATGCATACTGTAGCAGCTAAAAATGCAATAAGATTGATCAGAGAAAAGAGTAGACAAAGAGAAAGTGAGAGCATTGAAGTTCAATAGAAGATAAAACACATGTGCAAAGCAGATTCCACTTGTCAAGCAAATACAAATGACTGTGTACTGCACCTACTTCCACAAAACCAGAGATCTCAAGGTTAATTGCTGAGATTAAGTTCTGAATTCTGATAAATTTGTTTTTACACATCTCCATGCCTTTTGACTTTTTACTTTTAAATCAAGGATTAAAATATTGAATTCATTTCCTTTAATAGCCCCTGTAAGACCTGCTCAGTAAGATAAGAATATTAGCACTGAGGCCACATTAACCACAATAATCTGTATATTGTGATTATTGGAAGGCATGTCCTTCAAACACTGCTAATACTTCTCAATTTTTTATAGGCGCACCGAAGACCATTTTGTGCTTACCTCATGTGCAACTTGAAAAGACTCAAACTTCTGTGTGCTGTGTGATGACTAATGTATAGCCATTCCTGAAGAATGAGAGAGAGAGAGTAAAAGAAAGCGCCCGCAGATTTCTAAAAGCTCAGAATAATAACTGTGATTTGATAGCCTAAGAAATCAATAAATAATTTAGGGATCATTTGGGACCACAACCTGAGTTCCCTTCAGCCTTCAAAGACCAGAGCTCTATAAATTGAACAGAGCACCTGCTGAGTTCATTAACAGGTGTTACCAATCATCAGAATTAGATGACCTACAGGTGCAGCCACCCAGTTTTTCTTCCAAATACGTTGGAAGTAACACGGCACATTGCATTATGTAATTCACTGGCCAAAGACTATTGAGGTGGCACTTGTGTTCCGTTAGATGTTAGTGAAATGATTTCTTAATTTATTCTGTTTCTATACTGTTTGTTTGTGTGTGGAATTTTACAACTAAAGGGAAATTCTGGGAGCTGGGCATAAAATAACAGAAGCATAATGTCTGCCATAAACTATATTATTTTGGAATATAAATATATTATACATACAGTATATGGCTGGGAGTGTTAGCTTAAAGTTAAAATACACAACTGTATTCCACCATCTTCATAAACATTTTACGTATCAAAGTTTTTAACTGTGACTTAATGTTTCTGTAAAACATTTGGGAAACTTTTGATGTGCTCATTCTGACTATATTAAGTTCCTAAGCTTTATAAAACGCTATAATGGTTTAACCTTTTCTATGAATACTTGCTCTCTTTTAAAATCTCGTAAGAAATGCTTAAAATGTTTAGGAAGAAAGTGGAATACTGGTGTGTATTTTTTATTTAAACTACCAATACCAGCCATATACAGTTTACTTAATATGTTTATGTTCCTATATTAATGATGAATGATGAAGGTGGAAGGTTGTGTACTTTTGTCTAACTGAGCAATCTTGCTTTTATAAAATATACCAACTTTTTAATGTTTAATGATTAGCATGCTGGAATACAAAGTTTAAAATTATTAAGTCTAAAGAGCATACAACTTAAATTCTTAATTGGAAAAAGATTGTCCTTCAGCAGTGACACGTTGAGACGCGTTGTAACACGCCATGCCTACTGCGTTTTACCGCAGCATAGTTCGTGCATTTTAAATGGCTGCATCTGTAAAGGAGCATACAGTACTTTTCAGGCCTGACTAGAGTTAGGGTTGGAAGACCCATCCTAATTTGACACCATGTTTTCCTCAAATTCCACTTTAAATGACAAAATTAAGAGACTTCATTCAATACAATGCCTTTTCCTAACATTTTTTAATTTCACTTAGTTTTGATACACATTTCTTAAATTGTGCTATGCCATTGCTGTGTCCAACAAAGGAGACATGATCCAGGTGTGTATGAAGCAGACATTACCTTTACTACGTATACATACGGGAGCCAAAGCCGATGAAGCACTGACTCAATTTGTTGATACAAACGGATGCTTTTTATACAAAATCACAAGCAGAAAACCCACCCAGAACAGTTCCAGTACAATTCCATGCCATATATGGTCTAAAGCTAAGGCTGCTAGCCTTGGTACGTGATAAACTGTAAGAATATTATTGGGTTTCTTAATTTATTGTTTAAGCAGACAGTATGTACTTCTAGATTTTGTTAATTATGTCTTAAGCAGATATCAGACGCACTCAGTTCTGCTCAGGCTGCCCGGATGTGGCTCTGCCCTTCACGTTTCAGGCACGTAGCCGGCACACACTTAAGTTGCAGTTAGTAATTTTCCATTATTCTAGAAGGATAGTTAGTAAAATGATGTTAGTAAATTATTTACACAGTAAAAGCAAATTAGTGAAATAAGAGAAATAAATGTCTGATCCTTCACCATGTAAGGAGCCAATTCTATCTGAAAAATCAAAATTCATTTCAGTGGAAAGTATAATCTTTCCTCAAGTTAACTCCAGTCCTCAAATATAGCTACAAGGTTAAAAAAGCCTAAATACTATTAGAGTCCTAACCCTAACCCTAGCTGGGGTTTAAACTGAGCAAAAAAA